CCTCCTGGTCCAGACGAACCTGAACCACTGTGCCGCGGCGCAGGATCTCTTCCTGCAAACCATGGCACAGTGGTCGATAGGTGTTGCCGTAGTCGCGGAGCCCTATTCTGTCCCTCCCCGTCCAAACTGGATGGGTGACTGGGACGGCTCCGTGGCAGTCGTCGGTTCCACGACGGCTCATTCCCCGCCCTTGTCGCTAAGAGACAAGGGCACTGGATATGTTGCCGTCGAGTGGGGGGGGATCACCATATATGGTGTCTATTTCTCCCCCAACCGGAGTTTGAACGACTTCGAGGTTTTCCTAACCAGCTTGGAGACCTCGATACGGCGACTAGCGTCTGGGCACGTCCTTGTGCTGGGGGACTTCAACGCAAAGTCCATTGCGTGGGGTTCCCCCAGGACGGACGCCAGGGGCGAGGCCGTAGAGGAGTGGGCGGCCTCGGTGGGCCTCTGTCTTCTAAACAGAGGCTCCACCAACACAGCGACAGCAGGGGGGGTCGATAGTGGACCTCTCGTTCGCTACCCCTGCCCTCGCCGCACGAGTAAGGAACTGGCGTGTCCTGGAAGAGGTTGAGACGCTCTCGGATCACCTGTATATCCGATTTGAGCTCTCCCGGACCCAGGACTCCAGTAGGGGTCACGTGGCGCGGCGTTTATCCCGCCTTCCGCGGTGGGCTGTTGCCAGGCTGAACCGGGACCTACTAGAGGAGGCAGCCATAATTCACTCGTGGCTGTCTCCTCAGGCTCCGACCGAGGAGGTCGACGTGGGGGCTGGCCGCTTTCCATGGCCGCTGGCCATGCCCCGCGTTCGAGGTCGTCGGCCTCCAAGGAAGGAGGTCTACTGGTGGTCCCAGGAGCTGGCGGACCTCCGTGCGGCCTGTACACGTGCCCGGAGGTCCTACACGCGCAGTCGGCGGCGTCACCGTGGAGACGGTGAGGAGGACCGGCTTCATGAGGAGTACCGACGGGCGCGGAAAACTCTGAAGCTGGCCATTAGCCGCGCCAAAGAAGAAAAAAGACAGGAGATGCTGGAGGGTCTTAATCGTGACCCCTGGGGTGCGACAAAAGCTCCGCGCGTCGGGCCCCCCCCTTACGGAGACTCTCCAGCCCAGCTTCCTGCGAGAAGTGGTTGAGGGCCTTTTCCCACAACGGGCGGAACACACTCCCCCGTCGATGGCCTCCTTGGCCGGAGACGACGGGGAGCACGGGGAGGATAATGTTCCGCCCGTCCGGGAATCGGAGGTAGGGGCGGCTGTTCTACGGATCCGTTCCAAGAACACCGCCCCTGGGCCAGACGGGGTACCGGCCCGAGTGCTGGCCCTGGCCCTCAACCACATGGCAGACCGCCTCGGGGAGGTGTTCGACGCTAGCTTGGCGTCGGGACGCTTCCCTGAGTGCTGGAAGAGCGGGAAGCTGGTCCTATTGAGGAAGCCGGGACGGCCTGCCGATTCGGTCGCGGCCTATAGGCCTATCGTGCTGCTGGACGAGGCGGGCAAATTGTTTGAGAGGGTTCTTTCTGCCCGCATCGTCCGGCACCTCTGCGAGGTGGGCCCCGATCTGTCGGACGCCCAATTTGGTTTTCGGGCGGGGCGTTCGACGGTCGACGCCGTGTTGCGCCTGAGGGCCGTGACCGAAGAGGCCGTGAGCTGTGCCGGCGTGCTGTTGGCGGTGTCATTGGACATCGCCAACGCATTCAATAGTCTGCCATTCAGCTGCATCAGGGAAGCACTCCACTATCATGGGGTGCCAAAGTACCTGAGGCGGCTGGTGGCAGACTATTTAGAGGAGCGTACCGTCGTGTACGAGGACCGAGAAGGTTATTTGAGGTGTCGGCCCATGTCGTGCGGTGTTCCACAGGGGTCTGTTCTTGGACCCCTCTTGTGGAACATAGGGTACGACTGGGCCCTTCGCGCCGATTTCCCCCCCGGGCTGGGTGTAATCTGTTACGCAGACGATACCCTGGTGACAGCCAAACTTCCAAGAGGCGGCGCGCCTGGCCACAGGGGGAGTCTCCCTGGTGGTCGGGCGCATTGAGGCGCTGGGCTTACGGGTGGCCCTAGATAAGACGGAGGCCCTGTTATTTCATGGGCCCCGTCGTGGTCCACCCCCTGGCGCCTCCATCGTGGTCAACTCGGTCCTCGTACCGGTTCGGGCCCAGATGAAATATCTGGGCCTGATCCTCGACGGGAGGTGGCTCTTCGACGAGCACTTCCGACAGCTTGCTCCAAAGCTGGTCGGCGCTGCGTCTGCCCTAGGGCGACTTTTGCCCAATATGGGTGGACGCAGCGTCGCGACAAGACGGCTGTACACGGGGGTTGTCCGGTCAATGGCACTGTACGGTGCACCGGTGTGGGCGGCGGCTCTGACCGCCCAGAATAGGGTACGCCTCTGGCGCCCTCAGAGGGTAATGGCGGTCAGAGCCATACGCGGTTACCGCACCGTTTCGACGGAGGTGGCGTGCGCGTTGGCCGGAACTCCCCCGTGGGATTTGGAGGCGGAAGTGCTCGCCGAAGTTTATCGGCGAGTGGCTGACTTCCGGGCGGAGAGCGGATTTCGCCCTCCGCCCGAGGATGTGCGCGAGTGGCGCGAAGCCGCTCGCCGAGCCACGATGGCTCGTTGGTCGTTCCGGCTGGAGACTCCACGCGCTGGCTTCGCCGCCGTGGAGGCTCTCCAGCCGGTCATCGCCGAGTGGGCAGGGCGGCAGCACGGGACCCTTTCCTTCCGGGTGACGCAGGTGCTTTCCGGGCATGGTTGCTTCGGAAAGTACCTGCACACGGTCGCTAGGAGGGAACTGAGTCCCGCCTGCCACCACTGCGACTGCAGTGAGGACTCGGCCCAGCACACGCTGGCGGTCTGCCCCGCATGGGCGGCGCAGCGCCGGGCCCTCACTGCAGTCATCGGAGTGGATCTCTCGCTACCGGCCGTAGTACGCTCCATGGCCGGTAGCGACAGTTGTTTTACCGCGGTCGCAACCTTCTGCGAGGTAGTAATCTCGCGGTAGGAGGCGGCGGAGAGGGCCCGGGAGGACGACCTCCACTCGGACCCGATCCGCCGCCGGCGAACCGGGCGGCGGAGGCCCGCCTACCACAGCCTCATGCCGCCCTGAGTGTGGCCGCGGGTGGACGGGGTGGGTTTCCCCTCCACCCGCATTAGTTGGCCAGCCGCGAGGGGGCGGCGTCCGCGTGTGCCGGACGTCGCCTAAAGAGAGGAACATCTACATTGAGACGGAGCCCGCACCAGGAGCGGGCTGGCGCTAGGAGGGGTCCGGATGTCTTAACAACAGCTGTTCCCGGATCCCTCCTGTTACAGGCGCAGAGTGGCACACCGTGTGGTTTTAGTCGGTCCGAGTCCGACACACCACCCCGCCGCAAACCCCGGAGGGGTGACGGTCCGAGGGGATTTCCACACGTTAAAAAAAAAAAAAAAAAAAAAAAGGTTTGTTTCAAGTTTTCCTTCTCTTTGCAGTGCTGTTGTCCTGCTTAGTTTGCTCCCTTAGTCGGCTCTTACGACACCCACGGGATGAATGTATTCAAATTCTGGTGGTGACAAATTGTATTCTTAATCCTTCACCACACGGACTATAGACGGACTATACACTACGGACTTATTAGTTCACTAAATATAATTTATTTTTGTAATGAAATAATAATATACAAGACAGCCTTTTAAAGTTCTTCATCAGGTTCATTTAATTTAAATATATTTAATTATTTTTCCAGTTCAATTCTTAAAAAAAATACTTGTTTTCTATTATAATATGCGAAACAGTTTTAAGTTATAAATAATTTATAATACTTTAAAATTAATTTAATTATATTCCTCGTTTATTTCTATTTAATGTTATTTTTAAATTTGTAATGGCTTAAAAGACTTAAGCGACTAATCCATTAGTAGATATACCATAACATAAAATACACTAATTTGAGCAACTTACAATTTTGAATAAATTATTTAGGATAATAACACCCATTATTATGATAGGTAGTTATTTAAATTAATAGCTGTACCTACCCTGCCACGCTTTGCTGTAACACATTGTGGTTGTAATGATCAGTAATGAGAAAATGAGGCGCGAAAATAGATAAAAATTATCTTTGAAGCGGCTTTTATACCGTGTCGAGATTTAAGCTCAATCGGTGTAGATTTTTTTGAGTTTTTAAAGCGTACACAAACTAACTTAACATTTTTATATGTACATAGAGTTATATTCCTTTTAAAAATCCATGAAATAAGTCACTAATAATTTTATTTTATAAATAACATTCTTCTTCACTTATTTATTAAGGAAAGTCTTAAAAACTGGACGTAGTTACTACTTAACATAAATCTCTTCCTTAAGCTAATAAATTCGAGTGTCAATACAAACTAATTTCAATTATTGAATTATGTATATAACTTCAAAATAATAAATTCGCAATGACTTCATTGAAAATGTACCTAAAAAAAAAAAAATTTTTTTTTTTTGTATATAAATAATATCAATGCTTTAAGGTACTCACGTATAAAGTGTAATAACATTTATCGATATTAATCTCTAATCATAATATCGCACTATATATGAATTAACCGGTATCAAGACTATTTTGTGATTTAAGTACATAAAGTATGTTTTTACTTTTTATGTATACGGATCATTAACATGGTTTTGGTTTAAGGGAAAACCTTCTGCCTTTTAGCGGTATGATTGGTTGCTTTAACATCATACATTTAGACTTATTTGTTTTGTTATTGCCAAACAAAAACAATAGGATAAATTAGTCTAAATGTATATACATAAGTACATACTCAAACAAATGAATATGGGCAAATATGTTAAAAGCAATAAGGTGTCGACAGAATCACAAATATACTTTAAGAAGACTTGCAATGTCTTTTTAATGGTTAAAATATGAATATTGTCACTTAAGTGTCACGAAACGAAGCAATTACCTATACAATGAACGCTCTAAGACACATTGTATTATTGAATAGGAATAATACATTGACAAAAGGTTACTGACCTTCCAAAACCATTAAACGATGAAGCTTGGCTTGCGGAGTGTGATGCACTGAAGCCTTCGTTGAATCCGAAAGAGAAGGACTGCGATGCTGAATGACTGGCTCCACCTCCATTACCGCTGCTACTAATACTCGCTGTAAGCCCCCCGGTTCCAGACGGAGCCACATTGAAACCTCCACCAAAACCAAATCTCGGTTTGAATTGACTAGGTTTCCGTTCGCTTGGTAATAGTGTACTAGGATCACGCTCCAAATGTTCTAAAACGGGTAGAACTGGTGGTGTGATCACTGGTTCTAGTTTCTTTTGTTGCCTCCTATCGTCAGGGAAGACGAACCCATTCGCCGGTGCCGGCAACACGATCTTCAGCACAGAGGCGAAACACAAACACCTGTAGATGAACCTCATGGTTGTGATTACTGACTACGTGAGATTGTCGATGTATCTTGTATTAATAGGGTCGTACGAGGTCATCCGCGGTGTTGGCATGCGGCACGCGCCGCAGCCTTCAGAAAACCCACTGCGCTTCGTCCGAGACGATATCCTGCCAACTAACCATCCCCTCTTTGCCACACCCAAGTCCATAGGTGACTCGATCCTTTTAAATTTGATAGCGTATTGTCTCAAACGTTAGTATAAGCGGGAAATTTTAAAGGCTAAGAAGGCGGTCTTGGGAAATCCAAGTGTCCTACTTCAGATGGGTAAAGAATCTAATCACGTAGATTTTAAGAGATGAGCCACGGAAGCAGTTAGAATAGCTTATTCTTATATTGCTTATCTATTTTAACGGTATATTTGTGTGGTCTGTTAATTAAAAACTATGAAATAAGAAATGCTTATGTATTTAATGTATAAATGTTTTGTCATCTTTATATAGTATAAAATGAAGTCACTTTTTTCTTGTTAAACAATAAATAAATTATGTTGCAGGTCAAAAGTTAGCCATACAAGATGCATTTCAATAAAAGTATAAAAAATGAAATCAATAGAAATTATCTGATTATGATAAAATATTTGAGGTTTGTTGAACAAATTCGGGTACCTAAATGAAAAGTACAAACAACGTATATTTGCGAATGTGTAATACTATAATTATTGTATGTATTATATCTACGCTAACCAGATATAAAAAAAGCCTTCATTTTTTAAATGGGACATTTAAAATGAGGAAATAAAACGAGACCGACATCACAACAGTTAAAGAAAATGGTTCGTAATTTTTTTTTGAGTTTTATTTTCGGTTCCAACAAAGAGTAGGTAGCATTTACAGCATGTAAATAAATTATAGCAGCAAGTAATGAGACCATAAAATTTATATGACTGGAGTATTTTTTGTATACACTTTTATCTTATAGGATCTTGCTTCCTTGCAAATTCTTTCTCTAAGTATCCATCCATTTTAAAGTATTTGTGGGAAGCATGTAAGTAAATTAGAACTTGATACTTTTTGAAGATGGACTCATAAAGCGGTAATTGGAAGTCTTCAACTGTAGAAGGTAAGCCGTGTGTTGGGGATAATTGATTGATAAGTTAGTTTAAGAACATTCATTGTCTAAGGTTCATCGAAGTAATAATAATATATCTGTTTATTGTACACCAGCTATAAATATATAATACAATAATGGTCTTAAACTAGGTTGGTACAAATGGCGGCCTATTAATTAAATGACGATTTCTTAATAACATAATTTTGATGCCAAAATAAAGCGCGAAAATTTTTATACAGATATGTCAGTATTGACCCTTGACATTTTAAATGAAGAACCAGGAAGATATTCTTGACTTTTTACAACGTCAACACTGCCGTTTTTATTAACGTTTTTATACTCATTTGTCTTATTTGCTTGTATACGTTTATATATTCATTCATTCAATTGTTATATTCAATATGTTGAATATAACAATTGATGTATGTAAAATGCATAATTCATGTTATGAATGTATACGTGCCAAGCAAATTGTATATACTTATTCAAACCACTTATTATCTTGTCATAACTTAGTGGTCAATCTGTTATTTACAAATCGATCTATTATCAGCTTTAGGGTTGGCACAGATTTACATTACAAGTAACACAAATTAACTTTACTAAAATTAACAAACGAATATAAAATTAACTTAAAATATTAATTAAATCGAAACTTTTGTAATTAAAATTTTATCAAAGTTGATTTCTTCTCTTACGTGTGTATGAGCTAATTATAGTTTGCAAAATTTGGACTCAATGTGCTTGAGCCTATACGTTTGAGCACACAAGCATTGTGTTTTTTTCACTTTTAAATGGCTATACCTATTTTGAAAAGAAATTTAGTTATAAATTATACATAGACTATGGGCAAATCATAAATAGACAGAACTATTAGCGTCTATTTTGATTATATTGGATAATCTTTAAAGACGCTATATCTTCCATTAAAGGAAGGAACCTCGTTTTTTAGGTAGATCAATACGTTTCGCATCTTATGACGCAGTTGGAAAGATATCACTTGAAAAACATTTAAATTATTCGAAAGGATGTTTAAGATTTTGACAAAGATATTAAAAATAATATTTTAATTGAAACCGTCACTTCCAACTATGGAAATTAGTCGCGTTTGAAATTGAACAGCATTAACATCAAGAAAACATCATTAAGTCATTGACAATCTTATATTCTGAGTGTGGTTACATGGACGTGATGTTACATCAGAATAGGTGATTTAGACTGTGCTGTAGTTAAGTTGATTATTATCTACTGCTAATGTTTTGATAGAAAAATAATAGGTATTTGGCTGTTTTGGTCAGGGATCAGTGTGAATTTTATTCATTTGATCATATTTGATTTTCAGTCTTGATTTACGTTTAGTAAATTTGAAATCACGGTCTACGTATGCGGTCACTACCTAGTTTGAATCTGCTGCCCTTTTTAATTATAGAACATGGATAATCTTATATAAATAAAAAGATGTGTAAAGCAATAATCATATCTTGGGGATAGAAAAAGTCCATTTTGCATTAAATTTTGTCATCAAAATCATCAAATTGAAGCCCATGTTCCCTCTGCTCCCTGGAAACGAGCGCGCTTCGCAACACGCTCGCCGCCACCCCGGTGTATGGTGATAGCCCTAAGTCAGTATTATTTTGATTTACAAGTGTAAGGTGAGTGTAACAGGGCCGGGGTCACACGTCCTGTGTCACGGTCGACGGATGCGTCTCAACGCTTTATCGTATATTACGATACAAATCTTATCAAATATCCACAAGATCGATTAACATATGGATATGCAACTGATCTGTTTTCGATATATTTATTAAGTTATTAGATACAGGTTAGTTGATCACATACACACATACAGAACAATATCCAGATTCCGAACCCTACCTACGTAAGTTCCAATTTATGCTACGAAAGTAACGAGCGAAATACCCTTCGACATTTTAAAAGTTACATAGTGTATCAAACTTTTATGATAGGAATTCAGTCGTAAGAGACGTCAATCTCCGATATCGAAAATTTTAAATAAAGTGCGTAGTCTTGATGTTGGTCATGAGTTTTTCTTCTCCGGAGCTCCTAATCGAGCGTTAGTTTGATCATTATATGATATTTGAAGCTGTGAGACAGTTTTGCACTTTCACGAATATCAGTAGGTAAACTATACTAAACGAGTCGGTCGATAGTTTTAGTACTGAAGACATTCAAGGATTTAATTATATTTAAAAAAAAAAATATATGACGACTAAATTGTCAACTAAAGTCACAAAATTTCTGAAAACTTTTTAGGTCTCAAATGTGATGTAATACTATTTATTTAAACTTAAAAAGAGCGCAAACCGTGCTGTGGGTACTTTTAAAAAAACCAAAGTTGTCATAAATTATTAAAATTTAAAGCACCAGTTCTTGAAAACTGTAGGAATTAAATAATTTGAAGTATAGTATAATAAAAGTTAATTTTTCATCTTTGTACCAAACATTTTTTTCGTAGTTGTTCCAACCAGAAAAAAACCTAATTACTATGATTTATTTTGAAATAAATAGGTTCCTAGCTCGAACCCCGTCGAAAAACCTTGGAAACGAAAGCCTCTTTGTCTCGGGCCATCGAGACAATTATAAATAGTAGTAATGAGTTATATAGAGTAGGTGTAAACATTATACACGGTATCACCTTTCAACGTCACTACAAGTGTTTTATATCAGGTAATATAATAAAGCCGTTTTGAAAGCGGTCTGACATTAGTCAGTGTCTTAATGACGTCATACTTTTAGGCAAGTTATTACTAAGTAATATTTATCATTAAACATGAAACCATTATACTGAGGCTACGTATTATTATTATCTTATGACTTGTTTTAATTGGAAAGCTGGTTCTCTTAATGGACAAATAGAAACACTGATAATGAAAGGTTTATGTTTGATTAGTTTGTAACTGGTTCAAATTATTTGTGTCTAACTAATCACAACACTTAGGTAAACTGGTAGGTATATTTTGATAAACGTCTATACGAGTACTGACCTATATAACAGTCAACTAGTTATAAATCAGAGCTTGTGTTTTAAATTACCGTTTCACTTTTTTATTGGTTATAATTTCAAAATCGGGGTAGATTTTCAGTGTCTATACAAGTAGTTGATCTAAGTGGCGTGCGATGGGAGAGGACTATGTCCAGCAGTGGACTTCGATAGGCAGATGATGATAGAAGTAGTGGTATTATCTTTAGTATCAGTGAAAATTTTGTGCACAGAACATCAGTAGACACACTGAGTCACAGATCCGTCTTGGCATATTTGTGAACAAGAGTAAACCTCTTGAACAATGGCCAACCTTAAGTGTCTAGCCGACATTACATTGGGCACATACATAATGTGTCATCTTGACCTTATTTGCTACTTGTCTTTGTTTCCAACTATTTAGCACCCTTGTCAATGAATAGGTGGATAGATAATCACATTTAATTCTACATTATATATTCATAGCAGGCAATATTAATAGCAGTAACGTACTAACAGGTAGTAATGCTCAGTAACTGAACATTTGTTTGGTCCATTTTTATTTTTTTTACTTTTAACCAATTTTTTGAAACATCATTTATTGTGTTTCTACATGAATTACTCGTACAGTTCCAAATCATATCAGGTTTTTGTTTTTCATATGAATTTAAAAGCCATAAGGTCTCAAAACAATACGATAATGGTTTTGAAGATTTTCTTGGATCGACAATGGATCTAATAAACGAATGTTATTTAAAACATAACAGAATCGCTATTAGCCAGGTATACCAACAAAAAATAAGTAATTCGTGATTCATGTTTTTTTCAACTTGCAGTTTGAACTTTGTAAAATAACAAAAGTAAACTAGTTCAGCGCTTACTGATAACACAACTGTGTGTATTTCATCATGTATCATATCCATTATAAAAGAACAAAGAAA